TATAAATATAGTTAATTTATGAATGTATTTTTAATGTATAATTTCAGTTTATTTTCATTTTTGGTATAAAACTATGGCTGACATAATAAAACTCTTAAAAGTATATATATTTTCAATCTTTATTACTATACATTATTTAGTTTTCATTTATTCTCTCTGACCTAGGGAAAAGGTTAGAAAACCCTGGTCATAATTGTTTACAATGTTGGTGTTCCTAATGATACAAAACATTACAGAGGAATGATACTTAGTCGATGAAATCTCATCGAGTTCACGCAAAACGTATTGTGGTATGGATCTGATGCATCTGCAGATTTAAATTTATTTTTGTGTACTGTTTTCAATCAACTGGTACCCCAAATTTATACAAGCCACGTCTTCGCACCACAATGTGACATAGCATCAAATCTGCTTAATCGCGTACCATTTTTTTTTAAGTATCAAGGATATTCTTGGTGTAGCTGCTCATCATGTTTCGATTCATTGAACCTAAAAAATAACAAATATCAATAAATAGAATTCGGAATTTATTCCAAAAATATTTTTCTTTGGGAATTATATAGGATTTCTCGTTATTATACTGACAAACTTTTAAAGGTGGTAGGTGTATCAAAATAAACATTTTTTTGCTTAATAAAATAAAAATAATTTTATTGCCCAACAAATTAATCCATTTACAGAACAAAATACATGAAATAAATGTTAAACATAATATTTCGACAGAAAATAATTTTAGCAACAGCAAAAAAAAAGAAAGAATCCTAAATACATTAGCTACAAATTAGTACAACTAATGGTCGAAATAAATATCCCAATCAGAACAAAATTAATTAAAATTTGAGCACATTAGCGTTATAGGTGAATTTCTTCCCAAGTTCGTTCAAATATTTGCTGTATAAAATGTTGTATGATATCTAATGGCTGTTTGGGGAACATTAAAATTTATTTAATTTATCAAAAATAGTACATCAATAGTGTTATGTAATATTTTATAAAAAAAATCTGATGTGTCCAACACATGACTTTCCTATCTAGTTATCACAGGCTTTTTCCGGTTATTTTGTACAGCCTATTGCAGCACCTCCATAAATGTTTAGAGGATAAAATAAATATATACATTTTCCACATACATCTACCTCGAAACATTTTTCTATAGATATTCATTGAAAATGAAAATACTGAAAAATTTAAATTTAGAACTTTTCCTACAATTTTTCCATTACGGTCCATTTTAAAAAAATCATGTATAAAAAAAATTATAGAGATCGATATCGCAAACAACTTTTATTTCAACAATTTTCATAAAAATCAGAATTTTGCACATTTTGTCAAATTTCTCGAATACGGACCATTTCAGGAAATTTTGACATGAAACAAAAATTATAGATAATAACATTAGAAATAACTTTTATTTGAACAATTTTTTTCTCCAAACATAAATAAGAGATATATTCCATAAAATATAAAAACGGCCCCCTATAAAGTACCCCCCCAGATGTTCCGACTTTGTCCAAAATCTAATCTTTTCACGTCAGGCCAAAATAAAACTTAAGCTTAAAATTTAATGTTTTTTTCTTTATCCGTTTTTGAGTTTTTTTCAAATTTCAAAAATTTACACATTTTCTCAAATATCTCGAATACGGTCCATTTTAGAGAAATTATGTATAGGATAAAAATTATAGAGAATTATATTACAAACAACTTTTGTTTGAACAATTTTTATAAAAAAATATTTTTTTACATTTTGTCAAATTTCTCGAATACGGACCATTTTAGGAAAATTTTGTATGGAATAAAAATTTTAGATAATAATATAAGAAGTAACTTTTATTTGAAGAATTTTCTTCCCCAAACGTAAATAACAGATATATTCCATAAAATATAAAAATGACCACCTATAAAGTACCCCCTAGATGTTCCGACACTGCCCAAAATCTAATTAGCACATTGGACAAAGCTTAAGTTTGAAATTTGGTGTTTTTCTGTGTATCGGTTCATGAGTTATGCGACACACAGACACACACACACACACACACACACATCATCGCGAAAATAGTCAAAACGGATTCAGGGGACCTCAAAACGTAAAAATCCGTCGAAAACTCGAGGTCGAAAAAAATCATGATTCCTATACTTTCCTTATATCTGTATACAGATAGGAAAGTAAAAATGTAACACTGGAAACTACCCTTCTATTTTCGAAAGAAGCAGAGTTTCTTCAATACCTCGAATGGGATACAGCTCATCTATTTTAAAAGAAAAGTACTTGAGAGATCGCCACTGAACATTTTCCAATGATCTTTTATGAATATTGTAAATAAGGTTCCAGATAAGAGATGCATATTCTAGCCTGGAACGAACTAAAGAAAAGTAAAGGATCTCCAAGCTTTAAGAGTTTGTAAAAGAACGAGTAATACGAATTAAGAACCCTAAGTTTTTCAACGCAGAAGCAACGGTATTTTCAATATAATATATATAATATAATCCGAAAAAGTAACTTTTTGGTTGAATAATATACCTTAATCTTCAATTTGTGCACAAGTTCGATGAAGGTAGGCTGTTAAATAAATAATCAAACTCCACCTTGTTAATACTTCTAGTATAGGAACATACTTTACATTTAGACACATTCATAAATAGCTTGTTTTCATTACACCAATTTTCAACGATTCCCAAGTTGGGTCTGTAAAAAGTAACAGTCTTGAATTGATGAGATTGAGGTAAATATTTTTAAGTCAGCAGCGAACAGCAGGTTAAATTTATTGCCAAGTCATTTATAAATATACTTAATAATAGTGGCCCTAGATTGGAGCTCTGTGGAAAATCCGTTGTAAAAGACATAATTAAAACGATGATTTAGGTAAGATGAAAATAATCTCAACAGCGACTGATCAAACCCTAAGCTTTCCAACTTCCTTACAAGAATATTATGATTTTTAATTATTACAAAATACATTATGGGCAGGTTGTACAAAACATATTTTAACACAAGAGTTTTATTTTTAACTAGTTATATTCAAAAATAAATGTTATTTTTAAAACTATGTTTAACAATAATCGATGAGTATAGAACAAGGTTCACAGTTTAAACTAAGTCTACATTTTAACTGCCTATTGTACAACCTGCTATAAGTAGGTACAATTAAAAATTAATTGTATTTCTTTAAAATGCACTTGATTTTGTTGATCAAAACCATTCGATAAAAAAATTAAAAAGTATTGGTATAAAGGTGGTTTTTATATCTATGCTATAAAGCATGCATTGGGGCAGCATGTAGATTATCTAAGTATCAGGTCCGAGAGATTAAAATTAAATAACATATGTAGTGGGATTCTCATCTTTCAATACGTCTCCTATCGAGACTCCTATCTTTGTTTGACAGACAGCAATTTTGATGTAATGTCTCTCTCTATTCTGTATGTAATGTGTCGAGTTCGCACAAAAGAATCGCTGTCCTGATCAGAAGATATTAACCACATCAAAGGAAGAAAATTAGGTCCCCTGTTATTTTTAATTTATATTAATGATTGTTGATGTCGCAATAATCAATATAACATTTACCTGTTTGTTGTAAGTTGTAAGGATTCAGATAACTTAGTAAGAGTTAATTGTCAATGAAACTCTGCAGAATGTTTATAAATGATGTTGCAATCATTTGTTAAAAATCAACACAACATAAAACAAAATATAAGCTGATAAGTAATAACTATATGCAGTTTGTGGACAAACAATATGGGAAATTGGAAGAAAATCTATAGGTACAGTTAGTAGAAAAATTCATATATTTAAGGGTAATTATTCGGAAACAGATGAAATTCACAGACCATATGCAAATACCGTTATCAAAATTGCAGGTAAATTACATTTCCTATTTAGAATGTTAATAAAATAATTGTTATATTATTACATTAGTTTTTACTAAATTTGGATATTGTGATATTAGCAATCTAGCCAAATAAAGAAAATAAAAATAAAATGAAAACCGAAAACATACCTGGATCTACAATAATATATATATAAATAATATAAGTATACATTGCATCTTTTAAATTATTAAAGTCCATTAAATTAAAATGACACGTCAAACCATATACGTCAAACTTTCAAAACAAACATGCTTGTTGTGTTCCAAACAGAAAATAGCATTTATAGAATAATTTATTTACTTGCAACCTTTCCCCGCACACCACCTCGCCCCTCATCCAGAAACATGGTCAAATTGCAGTCAAATTGGGCTAAGCCATTTTACATTCGTCTGCATAGGGAGCGATATTGCAATTTTTCAATTTAGTGTCTATTCCGTCTGTTCAGATGGTAGCATCTTATGGGCCCTACATTTTTAAATCTTATCACAAGAATCCTGAAATAATTAGGCAAAAATAAAAGAATGTATTTTGCGTTTTAACTTTTAAATACTATAAAAAATGATGGAAAGTCCATAACTTTTAAATATTTGTTAAATATCACTTATTAAAATATTATACATTAAAAGTAAAACAAACCATAGACTTTCCATCATTCTATACAGTTTTTTGAACCCATTTATGAAAAAAGTTTTTGAAAATATTATCGTTCAGAGCTGTATTTCTTGTGATAAAAATGTCGCCGTCACTTGTCATTGACAACCCGTTGAACTTGGCATTAAAATGTATTGATGACATTCGAATAATCGTCTCGATTCGATCGCAATTTCTCAACTGCTTAGATCAGGGGGTCGATTCTCGAGTTCATTGGAAAATTTTCCTATGGGAAAATATTCCACTACTTATATTCCCATGGTAATAGGTTAGGTTATTCTCGAACTTGTTGGAATAGACATTCCCATGGAAACAGTGGTTTCACGTATGTCTTATATTTAAGTACATAAATATTCTGATATAACCAATAATATTAAAGATATTTCAGTTGGTGAAATTGGTATTAGACAAATGACATGTTTTTGTTTATTGTAACGGTTTGTGTTGTTTGGCTTTTATATGCGTTTTTTTTTATGATTTTAGATTTTGTTAATTATTGTTAGTTTTTTATTTAAATGGCGGAGAGGGTAGATAAAAGAAAAATGAGCCATTGCACTGAAGGCCAAAAAAGGATGCTGGTTAGTTTCCTCGAAAGTGACGAGGAACTTAGAAAAGGAAAATTTACAAGCCAGTTCACATACAAAGAATCGCAAAGAAGATGGGAAACGATATCCCAGAAATTAAATAGTGTTCCGGGTGCGAAAAAGGAATGGGCATCATGGAGACGCGTAAGTCGATATTATTACCCTATTATTTTACATAGGTTGTTAAAACTTTTCGTTTGTAATTATGTATCTACTACATGTTAAAAACAAAACCCAAGCCTATATTAACCATTTGAAACGTGTCCTGCATTATGTATATTATAAAAACATATTTTTTAGACATGGCAAGACTTGAAAAAGAATGTAAAAAAAAATCAACATCCTTCAGTAAGTACAGCTGTGGAACAGGTGGGGGACCTAGTCCAAAGGATCTCACCTCCGATGAGTTAAGTATACTAAATATACTTGATAAACAGACTAATTCTATAACTATTCTTTGCATATGGATCAAAATTTAACTGATTGTTTAAACTTGAGGTAGCCATGTGTGAGTTGGTTAAATTAAAAGGTCCTTTGGATCTCACAAAGATATGTATTTTTTTATGTACTGTGACCTGTTTTAAAGTGTATCACTTTATCTTCTGGCATGCCTAGTAGGCAAAAGAAAAGATGAAATTGGTGAAATTTACATTTTTAGCGAGATGAAACAATGATTTAATTCAATAAACATTAACAATACTAATATTTATTTATTCATACAAAAACAATCAAATTAATGTACTAAACTATAAGAAAAAAAATAAATATTGAAAAATTGTTGAAGAGTAATCACTGTAAAAAATGGTAATATACTAGAAATTGTTTAGAAATAATATAGAAAAAACTCACCATAATCTCTTATCCACTAGGAAATTGACTACAAATTATAATGTTAATATAGGAGAATGAACTGAACATTTTTTAAAAAACATTGGTACTTGTCAAGGGTTAAAATAATTTTGTTTTATCAAGTAAATATGCACTTTTTACATGCACATGTGCAATTGTATTTTTGACATAAATTGGCCTTTATGTATCTTCGCTTTGTTTATGCCTCGGTATGTTATTTTGTATAAACGGGTACATTGAAATGTATTGAATTTAACTTTTATGTTAATGCTTATTATCAGACTGACTAAAAGCATCTTAAAGCAGAGAAATGTAGTAAATGACAACTCAGTTTTATAAGCAAGATAATTTAAAACAAGATATTTAATTGTACATTTATCATTCCTATTTTATCCTTCATTTTTATTTATTTCTACAGGTTATAATTGATCATGATTATGATGTAAGCGAAAACAAGGAAAATATTCCATTGGTAAATGGACCCACAGTTCTCGATGAAAAAGAGAATGCATCAATAGAGAATCCTGGAACCAGTGGAACCCTTAAAAGAAAAAACAATATGGCAGTGAGAAGATTATCTGAAACTGTAAAAGCCAGTCAAAATTTGACAAAGGCATTAGAAAATAAAAATAGCTCTATTGAAAATTATAATAATAAAAAACTAATGCTAATGGAAAGAGACGTGGTGGCAAAAGAGAGGATAGCATCAGCTTTAGAAAATTTAATCAATAAATTTTAGATTAACTAATTATTAAATGCTTTTGTTATTTTTTTTTTTTGTAAACAAAACGTTTTTGTTATGATCGGTCAATTATATTTTTAATAATTCAACACAATATATATTTCGGAATTAAATTTAATCTTTAGGTGCAGTCGCAGATTAATAAAATAAAAAAAATCATTTAGGGAAGTATGAAAATCTTTAAAATTTTCATGAATGAAACCCTATCTTGTTTCTTATCCTGTGTAGGTGTATGACTTTGAATATATACACCTACACACGATCAGAAACAAAAAAGGTAGGTTTCATCCATGAACATTTTTAAAGTGTTATGTACCAAAATATTTTTAAATTTTAACAAACTAATTGCTCCAAAATATGAAATTTTATTCCGAAACGTTAGTGCTGAATTAATAAAAATATAATTGATCGATCATACCAGACGTTTTGTTTACAATAAATGTCACTAGTCAGGAAAATTTCCTTCTTATATTAAGTCATTTGACTTTAGATTATTGTGTTAAAAGTTTTAAAACTTTATTTTTTTTTTTATTAACATGTATATAGCTTTAATTTGCACATTTTTAAATAAAGTTGAAGGTGGTAGCCATGTGTGAGTTATAAGTTCAAAAAGGTAAATCAAACGAGGGTGGTCCTTAGGATCTCTTGTGAAATCCTAAGGACCACCCTCGTTTGATTTACCTTTTTGCATTTTTAAATAGTTTGTTTTTGTTGTTTTTATTTTGAGTGTTACTGTGCTAAAAGTTTTATGACTTTATTTTTTTTTTATTAACATGTATATAGCTTTAATTAGCAAATTTTTAAATAGTTTGTTTTTGTTGAGTTTTTATTTTGTTTTAGATGTGTTAAAAAAGTTTTGTTTTGTTAGTGTTTAAGGATTTTTTTTTATAATAATTGTATTTTTATTTGTTAATAAAACTAAAATTATTTACAATTTTTTATTGAATTTCAAAAATAATTTCTTACAATTTGTTCTTGAAATCTTCTTCCTGCTTCCAATTCAGGATTTCTTGCTACTGGGTTATGTTGTATATGATCTGCATATATTCCAAAATCAATTTCATTTCCTTCTTCCTCTTGTGGGTCTGGTAATTTGTTTTCAATGCATATATTGTGTAACACAACACAATCATTAATGATTTTTCCTGCCATTAGAGGAGTATAATGTAATACTCTAAAAACAATAAGGCTTATGAGAACAAACTGGATTGAAAATATAATTAAAACTCACATAAATAGAGAGTTATTTGGATGCTTTGTTATACAAAAAAATAATTTTATTAACTGACCTATGCTTAAGAAGGCACCTAAATCTCATTTTCAACAACCCATTACACCTCTCTATTAAACACCGTGCCTTCATAAATTGGATGTTATAGGCTTGTTCTCGAGAACCATCTTCTGGGTTTGAAAAAGGTATTTGCAACCATTTGCGTAGTGGGTAACCAGAGTCTCCTAAAAATAACATGCTCAACTTTTTTCTTTCAGTACGTTTTTTATATTATACCTACCTATCAAATAGTACATAAAATCATTATTGGTTCGAACAGCATTTTCTAGCACATCCTTTAAATTGGAATTATTCCATATATATGCATCATGAGTTGACCCAGGGTACTTGGCATTCACATTTAATATTTTTAGATCTATATCACATACCTACAAAAAAAAAATAATAAGAAATTGGCTGTAATTAAAAATTTGTATACTTGCCAGTTGGGTGTTTATTGAGTGGTATTGTTTTCGATTAAGACCACAGTACCACCCCCAATATTCGTAACATGAACTAATTTTGATAGATGTCATTTATGTGTCATAAATTAAGAATCCTTTTGTTCAGCAGATGGAGCAATATTCCATATTTAATAGTTCTTTTGTTCAACAGATGGCGTAATAATTTTATTAGTTCTAAACGGTAACTGTTATAAAATACCTAACAAATTCATCACCCCTAGCTACTACGCGATAATAACTAAACGAGTTCTTGACCTTGACAAATATTTTCGATGAAACAGGTATAAAAATAAAACTTTTGCATTAGATTCGGCACGTCGGTATATTTATTTAGTAGCAGCGTTGGGTTTATTAGTACAATTGTACTAGATTCAGTGCATTTCAACCATTCATAAATGCTAGTACCACAAAAGACAAAAGTATCTAAATCTAGTACATTTTAAATATTTCGCTGGATCTTCTAGAATAATGTATTCTATGATTTCCAATTTCTATGCTAGACAGTAGATACTTCTGATACTCCCAATGCGATACTTTATACCAGGGAGGCTATTTTCAAACTCGAGAAAAGTCATTCCTCTCAAGAGAAATGTCATAATATGTCAACGTAAAACAGTATTTTTAGGGCCCTTGGGGCCAGTGTGAACTCACAGATTGTTTCTCTTGGTTTATTTAGAGGGAATACAAATTCTCGTAAGAATTTTAATCCTCGAGGCCTTTAAAACAGCGTTTCCACATTGACGTACGACATTTCTGATGAGAATCTTGAGAGAAATGAGTGCTCCCATACTTTGAAAATAATGGGTAAGAGATAAGGGAGTATGAGTCTTCATATAAGGGACATAAATATAAGATACGCTCCTAAGCATATGCTTAACAACCACCAGCTCGAACGCAGTTAACATCTGGCCCACTATGTGTCGCTATCATCGATATCAAACAAATAACCCAGCGGGAAATTTAAAAACCTGATAAATATCGACTACACTTTCATGTTCTAGTAAATAAATTTAAACATTGTTAATTACGGTAAATTATTTATTAAAAAGAATACTACACTTACAGTCTATTATAGATTATTGTAAATCTATTGACATAACAAATATTTTTTAATTTTTACCCTTATTTTATTTGTTTTTCTATAAAAAATAAGTGTTTGTTTTTATTTTTAAATTTTATTATTTAACCATATAAAAATATATTTTTGTTTTACGTATTTTAATTTATATTTTTTTGTTTAAAATAAAGTTTATTTTGGTTTCTTTTTAAATTTTTTATTTACCAACGTAAGAATATATTTTTGTTATACCCATTTTATTTATTTTTTGGTTTAAAATGAGTTTGTGTTCTCATTTGAAATTTATCGCCAAATCTAGTACGTTCTGGTACAATCACGATCTGAATTTCAGTACAAGCTGTTGCTACTAAAAACCCAACGCTGTTTAGTAGTTCATTCTTGTGTCCAATCAACAAAGGACAACGGTCTTCGTATCATTACGTAGGGACCACTTATACTATACACAGTGTTTCGTTAAGAATGGGATATAGAACAACTGACGATTCTCTGATTAAAAATAAGACAACTAAACAAATCATGCTTAGATAAAATGTTTCTTGGTACCGAGTTAAGGTGTTAAAATCCAAAAAATATTTATTGCTTTATTTTTTTATTACTCACAACAATTTTACTAAATTTGGCAAACGTTTTTGGTGTCAAATTATCCACCTATCAGCAAAAAAATAAGTTACCTTAATTAACTTTTCCAGTGGCGTACAGCATTCGTACGTAATACCGCATACCTCTTAAATTTTTTGATGTTTTTAAAATAAATAATGTACTCTTAGAAATTAAATAAAAAAAAAAATCGAAATTTAAAAACTACAGAATTTTCTAATATGTGCGAATATCTCAAAAACTAACTCAACTTTATTTAAAAAACATCAAAAGTGGACGTGGACTAAAATTTAGAAGGAAAAAGATGTTACTGGCCCATGACGTACGCCACTGGCAAAGCTTATTTAACTTATTTTTTGCTGATAGATGTATTTTATTACACCAATAACGTTTGCCGAATTTAGTAAAATT